GGAACACATTGTGGGACTAAACGTATCATTGGGTTATGGTGACCGAAGAGTGACCTGGCTGTAAGCACCGTAAATCAAAGTGTGTAATATGTTGGCCGTTTTATTTTTTACTTTACATATGATGACGACTGGATTTAGTGATTTTGAAATTTGTACTTGCTTGCTTCTTTTATATTGGCACCGCTGACGTAATTGCCTTCATTGTTATGGTCATTATTGTTTAGGCAGTGTATACTTAGCTTTAGGGCGAAACCAACCAATGTACAATACGTTCTTTATCTGACGAAAATTACCCTCAGTACATCACCTTGTCTATGCCTCTTCTTTCCCCGCATTTAAGTCGACCTTCATATTTGACTAACGTTCAATCAATGCTTTTCAATAGCATAACAGTACACACAATTTACATTAGAGTTTGTTATATTACACGGTCAGTTACTTGCGTCACACTTATTATTATGATAATTTATAAACACTACGGAGCTCGCGTTCTGTATCCTGTTATTCGAAAGTTACGCAGCATTAAAACCACTCACTGTTTACCCTAAGGCCTAAACTTGGGTAACTGAGAGCAGGGTGCCATTTGACTTTTTTGACGGCCATATTCCTCAAATCTGGCAGTATAAAATTTCGCCTAGCCGTAACGTTTGAAAAGTCACGGCCAAACTATATTTGGCTGAATTTGTGGTAAGTTAACATTTTTTTACAATATAGTCCTAATATGACTTGTTTTGAATATGTTGTTTACAAAAGCTTAAATTCTATATTTTATTCTAATCGTCGTACCCTTGTACTTGCACTAAACACTTAATCTATGTTCCTCCTTTGGCCGATCGAGTTGACGTAAGAGAGTTTATTAAAAAGATTAGCATTTACATTTAATAATTTAAAATGTTGGGATGAAATATAGGCCTATAGGCCCCTATTTTTTTATGAAGTATCCTCGTTTAAGCTTTGTGAAGACAGGTTTATGCAAGTGGAGGTTTCTATCTCTGTTGTTTGAGAATTGATTAAAACAAAATAAATTTAATAGTTTAATTAAGTTATTATTGCCTACTTGAATTGTATAAGCACTGCTGTTTTCTTTATGTAGAGTGCCATATAAATGCTCGATGTGATCATTCGAGTTCAAGGGCACCTCCAATTTCAATTGGTGTTGCAGATAAGTTCTTCGAAGTTTCTCTGGAGTTTAACTGTAGGCGTATATGAGAATCACGAATAAGATGATTCTGATAGCGGGCATTGGTTTATTGTTTTAAGTACTGCAACCATAACGTTCAGAGGCGAATCTAGAAAGTTCAGATAGAAAGTATAAATTAGTTTTCATAGGTTTGTATTAACATCGGTTTGTCACCTAACTAATGTAACTTTCATTCTAATTAAAGCGAGCCACGGATTTGCCATATAAAGATTCGATAACAGGCCCTTAAAATGATTGCTAGAAAATGACTACACTGTACGTTATTTAATAAATTTAAATCATAATTAAAGAGCAAATTTAATAATGTGGCTGCGGGCATTTAATTTATGGTGATAAATTAATTATAAGAACAACAGTAAAAGATTAACATTATTCAGTGTATACAATTTAATTTCTTCAATACAAATGACCGCTGATTTTCGTATAATTTCTTTTATTTTAAATAAATATTATATACCCACTATTGTCATCTAATCGGATTAAAATTTGGCCGAATTTTGGCCGATATCGAAAAAAGTTTGGCCGAGTTTGGCCGTGAGATGGCGTGTGTTTGGTCTCGAAGCCTGTCGACTATCTGGCAAACCTGACTGGGATGTATTTAGGAGGCAGCGCTTTAAAGAAAAGTTAAATAGTGCCAGACAGCGTGACCACTGCTTGGGTATTTACCCAAGATCTTGGGTATTTTGACTTGGGTTCTTGGGTATTCCGTTCAAATCCTTTGGTATTTTATTTTTACTAAGAAAATATTTAAATATTTTTGTCATAGAGGAAGAATTAAGAAGTAACAAAGTATATTTCAGTCCATTCAATTTAAGCAAAACTCAACGAAGTGCTCATAACATTGTTAATTGACTGTTAATTGCTATAAACATGGGTTCAGAATTGTTTATTTGTGATTTGCGTTGCCATTGATCTTACCTAATTAATGCATTCATAATAAAACTTGATCACTGATCTACTGATAACACTGGCCGACTGAGGGCGTATTTTTCTATCTGTATTATCACCTCATGAATATTAATTTTAATAATTAACACAAACAATTACAATAAAAAATTGGTTTATAAATTTAACTAAAAGGGAAACTATACATGCGAAAAACACGTATTTTTCAAATTTTAATGCATTTTCAGGAAGCTTGGGTAATTTTGGACAATTTTTGCTGAATCTTGAGTAATTTCGACCCAGTCGTTGGGTATATCAAAAATTTTGAGTGGTCACGCTGGTGCCAGAACCATTTTACCACGCGTCGATAATTACTTCGAATACTGTAGGCGTTATTTGCGTACAGAATACACAATATTTCGAAGGATTTAAATTTTTCCTTAATATTGTTTTTTAACTTGTATTACTCTAACATTCTAATTTCTTGCCTCTTTCTTGGAGGTGTATTTTCGCTTTCTCTATCTCCAAACGCTCCGTCATTTCACTAATTTTTATTTTTTTGCAAAGCCGATGCTCGTGAGTTTCCTACCTATCATGTCAAATTAGGCCTGAGGCTGTACGCGGCAAGTCTGCTCATTAACTGCGGTGGTGGACCTTTCAATCTTTCAACACTACTTTTACCCCTCCTATTATACTCCTACACTTTTGGAGTCCTTAGGAGGTCGGCTTTACCCACCAGAACCAGAACCATTAGATACGTCTGTTGCTCATGTGCATGCTGTATGTGTACGTATGTCGGTATTCAGTTTATTGTATAGAAACATGTCCTGGTATGATCAAAGAAAAAAATGAAATAAAATAAAGAAGAAAATAAAAGCAAAATACAGTCGGTGATTTTTTATTTATTTATTTATTTTATTTCATTTCATCAGACCAACAGCGAATCATCGCCACTAACAGGCTGGTAAAATATATAAAATTTAAATATATCAAATATATAGACGAAAGAGTACAAAAATCTCACCTATTCAAATGATTAATAATAATAGAACGAAATATAGACAAACTATTGTGAAAAATGTCAATATTAGAGGTTAGAATAAGAGAATTATGTTGAAGAGAAAGTCTAGAAATAAAACTACATTTACAGACATCAACTCTACAAAAGGGGACATTAAAAGTAGGACAGAAATGAAGACTTCTAGAATTAACATGCAAACCAAACAGATGTACAAAATCACAACAGGCATGACAGGCTTGATCACACCATGGAGATAATATATTAATTAGTTATATTATAATAATAATTTTAAAAAATAAATAAAATATATTTATTAATTAAATTATTAATATATTTTCTCCATGATTACATCGAACTCGTTTGCACCCATAATATAATAAAAAATTACATTTTTTTTGTGTATATTATGAAGTTTTAGATTAATAATCGTAAGATTTGATTTTTTTTCATGTATATATACAGGGCCTTAATCGATAATTACTTCTGTGCGTTCGGTACAGCCCCGTGACGCTGCAAGTAATACGAAAGGGGGTACTAGGGTTTAATAATGTAATATAACTTAAAGTTGTGATTGTTCTAATATAACTTAAATTTGTGATTATCTTTAAGTAAACATTTTTGATATGTTGCAGCACTGATTTTTAAGACAGAAAAAGGTTGTCTGACGAAAAACTGCCATGGGAACTGTGAATGAGATACAGATTTTTGAATATTTAAAAACTGGGGGAAAAGGGGCGTAACCGCCCTTTTTTTTTACACCTTCCCCCCCCCCCCCCAGTTTTCCAGTAAAAAATACAGTGAATTTGACTCTAATATGTGCCTATTTTTTATTGATTCAAAAGACATTTTCCAATTTTAGCTATTATATCATCTAATTTAGACAATTAATTTAAATAATAAATTGCTTGATGAAGTGAATTCTCAAACATGAATGAATAAAGTTTGAAATACATTTGAACTTGGCCTAAGTCGAATCCAAAATATCATTGAAATATTGTTCGACTTACATAAAATTTGACTTACAGATTGTTAATTAATGGAAAATACAGCAATTTGGCATGCAACATAAGATCAATAAATTATTCGACTTAGGCAGTCGACTTAGGCAAGTTTAACTGTATGGAATCAATGGTGGCCTGTATCAGAGTTTGCTTCTTACTGCAATGTTAAGCATATCCGTGAACACTGTAGTATCTATTCTAAATGAATTTTAGAAAGTCATTTGATGGACTAATTGTTTCAGATACCAAGTACCATACTGAGTAGCATAACCAATTAAACAAAATACTGAACAATATTGACTGTACAATAGCTGTTATCACACTAACGATACACAACAAATTGATAAACACAAGGACAAATTAACAATTGGAGACAAGAACATGATTAGCCAAGGTGCTTTGAATTAAAAATTTGGGTAAAATTTGCTTTAAAAATGACATCATATGTTTTATGAACAAAGAGACTGTCTCTTATACACATCTAGATGTGTATAAGAGACAGTTCTTTATGTAGAGCGCCATATAAATGCTCGATGTGATCATTCGAGTTCAAGGGCACCTCCAATTTCAATTGGTGTTGCAGAGAAGTTCTTCGAAGTTACTCTGGAGTTTAACTGTAGGCGTATATGAGAATCACGAATAAGATGATTCTGATAGCGGGCATTGGTTTATTGTTTTAAGTACTGCAACCATAACGTTCAGAGGCGAATCTAGAAAGTTCAGATAAAAAGTATAAATCAGTTTTCATAGGTTTGTATTAACATCGGTTTGTCACCTAACTAATGTAACTTTCATTCTAATTAAAGCGAGCCACGGAACGGTAGTTTCCACCATTACAAGAATTAACATGCAAACCAAACAGATGTACAAGATCACATCAGGCATGACAGGCTTGATCACACCATGGAGAAAATATATTAATTAGTTATATTATAATAATAATTTTTTAAAATAAATAAAATATATTTATTAATTAAATTATTAATATATTTTCTCCATGATTACATCGAACTCGTTTGCACCCATAATATAATAAAAAATTACATTTTTTTGTATATTATGAAGTTTTAGATTAATAATCGTAAGATTTGATTTTTTATACGCCTTAATCGATAATTACTTCTGTGCGTTCGGTACAGCCCCATGACGCTGCAAGTAATACGAAAGGGGGTACTAGGGTTTAATAATATAATATAACTTAAAGTTGTGATTGTTCTAATATAACTTAAATTTGTGATTATCTTTAAGTAAACATTTTTGATATGTTGCAGCACTGATTTTTAAGACAGACAACATATCAATTTTTTTTCCTCCGGACTCTGACTTTAAAGTGAAGATGGTACGTTCACGCTACATGAAAGGTATATCATCAAAGTATGTCATCTACAACAACTCAGCAATAGCACACAAATAAAAATTAACATACTCGTCAACGAGTGAGGGTGATGAGGAATATATCTCCATTGAACAAGCGAAACACAGGCATATACAAACATACACAGAATGCAAGCCATTAAGGAAAGGAAAGGAAAGAAGTGTACATTAAATCTAAAGAAGAGGTGATCGAAAATGATAAAGAAAAAAAAAAGAAACATAACTCCACTGTTTAGACCAAAAGAATGGAATAGAGAAGAACTGGAGAGACAGAAAGAAAATACAAAGAAAACATGGTTCGAACACGGAGGATTCGATACCGTCTTCTTTGTGGATGCTACGCCATGCAGTACTCTTGCAACACAATGTAAACAAATATTTAAGGCAACACACCTGAAAATAAAAGTAATTGAAAAAACTGGCCAAGACAAAAAAAAGTGTGTTTTATAAATACAATCGACTTAATAGAAATGGTAGAACAGCTATAAATAGACGCTCACATTGAAATATGGTGCACACAGTTACAAAAACCCGCTTACCATACATTAAAATTAAAACAATTGCAGAAGAACAAAAGAAACAATGTGATTGGATAATATATGAAACACGTTCTGAGACTACCTATTTATAGGGACTCCTCTCAGAAAAGCGTATCTGTGAAAAGGTAATGAGGTAAGCCAAATCGCTGAATATAGAGATGCCGAGTACGGTAGTTTCCACCATTGCAGCAGTAACATAAAGAAGCTAGGAGAGTACTATCCTATTGTTTTTTAATCACAATTGCAATACATATAAAATGCCATTTATAAAATAATTGCAGTTTATAATTGTAGTAGTTATATACTGTATTTCTATATTTCTATTTATTTTTAGTAAATGACAATACTGTAGTATTGATTGGAACACGTTCTCATACTCAAAGTCAAGATTACTGTTTGCAAAGCATAATGCATAATGTTAGTGGAAAGTCACTCTTAAGTGCTAATTTAAAGCAATAGGAACTAAACATAGCCCCCAACATATCAAACCTCTTCATTATGATTAGTTTACAAAAATAATCATTACCAGATTATGTTTTTAATTTACAACTGATTGTTTCAGAATTGAGATGGTCGTCAAACGGATAGCCATCTTAGGTGCGGGCGCCAGTGGTCTTACAGCCGCAAAGTGTTGCCTCGACGAGGGATTAGTACCTGTCTGCTTTGAGAAAAGTGACGTAATCGGCGGGCTATGGAACTGTAGAGAAAACTGCAAAGGACAAGGTGGTGTGTTCAGGTCCACGGTCAGTATTATGAACAAAGAGATGATGTGTTACAGTGATTTCCCAATACCCGAAGAATACCCGAACTTCATGCATAACAAGTACGTACAGAAGTACCTCGAGCTCTATGCGAATCAATTTGATGTTATAAGGCATATTCGCTTTCGTCACCAAGTTCAACGTATTGAGCAATGTGCTGACTTCCAGCAGACTGGCCAATGGAAAGTAAAGTACACGCACTGTGATACTGGTGTCACATCAACAGACGTCTTTCATGGTGTAATGGTCTGCAACGGTCATCATAGCGTGCCTCACTTTCCAGATTTTCCAGGCCAGAGTACATTTTCAGGTAGAATTCTGCACACTCATGACTACGTCGACTTTCATGGATTCGAACACAAGAAGGTTGTGATCGTTGGCGTCGGGAATTCTGGCTGCGATGCTGCCGTTGAGATTAGCCAACATGCTGAACAGGTATTGTTAGAATTATGCAAATTTATACATTTAAATATAGGCACTTGACGAAACCTGTATGCAATGCAATTTTACAACTGTTTTATTTCAGGTAATTTTAAGCACACGGAGGGGAACTTGGATTGTGAATCGAGAGGCAGACAGTGGTGTTCCTTCTGACATTAAAAACATCACCAGATTCAATTCTATGTTTCCGTTACCTGTGGTGAACATCATGACACAGAGGCAGCTTAATAAGAAGGGCAATTATGCTAACTCTCACGGTCTTCAACCAGAACACAATTTCTTATCACAGCACCCAACTGTCAATGATACACTGTTGAATACAATAATTGAAGGTCGTGTGACAGTCAGAAGCAATATCAAACGCATCAACAAAACTTCGATTGAGTTTGATGACGGAACGTGTGAGGACGACATAGATATCATTCTCATGGCAACCGGCTACACATTCAGTTTTCCGTTCATTGATGAATCAATTCTAAACGTTGATAACAATCAGATATCTTTGTACAAGTACGTCCTTCCCGTCAAAATCTCACCACCGACC